TTTACCTCTGCATTCATGATTCATACTGCTCTCATTAACATTTGTTAGCCTGGTTCTGCTGGAGGGTGCTTCCTGTTAAAAGGGAGTTTTTCCTCTCCACTGTTACTACAAGTATGCTTGCTGTGAGGGATTGCCTTCGAGTCAATGCAATCAACTTGAAGTTTAAGCTTTAAATTAAATGGTCAGGGAGGCTGCACAGCAAAATTGAAAAACCTGCAGGGGTTTTAAATACTGATGTAGTTTTTTCATTTGATCTTGTGGATTCTTTCGCAATTTTAAAAGGTATGTTTTTCCATAAAAACAACAGTGAAGAGGTTCAGCCATTGTGATCAGGATTTGTCTTTATGATTTGAAGATTCTTTTGTTAATAGCTACGATTATAGTTCAGATAACTGATCTCGTGAACACTTAAAGTAGCTGTCAGTTTTGATCCTACTTTGCAATAAGGCTGAAAATGCATTTGAATATAGAGACTTATCAACATATTTACGGAGAAGCAGGAAACTGAATGTTTAGAATGGAAAAATTAGAGAATGTGAAGGATCTGCACAATAGTGGAATCAGGTTATGAATAATTTCAGATTAAGATCAGCATCTAACCTGACTGATTCACTTGATATGCATTTTGAAATCCATATTGGATGTAACTAAAACTAGAAATGTAAAAATAATATAATTTAAATACATTAATAAAGGACTGAGTGTGATTAAAGATAATAATGATCTGCCCTTCACCCATTACAAGATGTACCTATTAAGAGCTGACAACAAATGTTAGTTATAAAGTGAAAAAAAATGAAATATTTCTTTGAACCTTAAACACAACTGCATCTACCAGTCAGCCTGTTCAGCCAGACAGTCAAAGATAGGGTTGCATCGTATTATAAGAGAAAGAGATGCTTTCATACTGTAAACTGAAACTGTAAAACAGCATTTTTTGCCCTGTAATAGTCAAATTATTTACTTTGATTAAAGGAAAATAATAAAAGTGGACCTTGTCCTGCTCTTTATGTCATGCTTGCTCTTCCCTCTCTGCTTGATTTCTCATTTGCTCTTCCTTGTTTTGTTCCGTGCAGGGATCACTTCAGTTTTCCATTTCCGACATCCTCCCTTCAGTGGGATGAGCCCTGCAGCCTGAGGCCTCTTACTCCCCACTCCTCATTGTCTTGATACTTGTGGTTTCCATTGTGCTTCAAGTTGCTCAATGCTGTTGATACTTGGTCGACATAGCGACGAGGTGGAGGCTGGTGGTGGAGGCCGGCGACTGCGGCTAGAGTCATTTTCCAAAGGGCAGATATATCTGGTCAGCAGACCTTGGTTTTTGGACCGGAGTTGGACCAAAGGGAGGGTTGGGATGATGGTCGATGGGGTCTGGCTTTATCATCTCTCCTCTGGCCCCACAATATAATGTTCCTCTGCGGCAGGGTGACCCATTTCTGCCTTCCATAGTTTCAGAACTAAGACTGGGCCGCATCGAGACACACCAACCACTTTCCCATGCACCCGGCGCTTCCAGACCCATCATTATCATTTAATATCCTATAATATAGCCCACCCCCCCTCCTTCATTCATCTGCAAAACAGCCTCCAGTGGGCGATAGAAGGGGGGAGTGGGCTACCCACACCGCAATAAGCAAGGATACCCAATATCCCCCTCTTTTATTTGGATCTAACCAGTGCATAGCTGCACAACAGTTCCCATCATTACACACAGGCCACTAAGTAGGGGCTACTGTGAATTGGATAAATAAGCATCCGTGCATTATATGCATCAGGGTCAGGAAATCAGACCTTGTGTCAGCGTTATTCCGTGTCAGGAAGTAAGAATCCAGGGTGTTGTTTGCCTCCATAAATCAATGTTATGACATCGTGGTCCATGGCATGACTTCTTGCCGTGCTTGAACCATCAAATTTACATTTTAATCACGACTCTGCAACGCAGGCCTGCAAGGGCTTTAACATGCTCATCTTCCAAAACAAATAAACCCAGTAAGTTGTCATTGTGAGTTAAAATTTAAAAGTTCCTAAGCAGCTTTTCTTAACAGATCTATGAATCAGAGAGGAGGCTGGTGGAGAACACATATATTTCTGAACTAACCAAGGCAAGGAGGGAGGTAAAGTTCATGAGATGGTTTAAGAAGAAGGGGTGAGTGGGCCTGGAAGGTCACCCTTATACAACCTCATCTGTAATCTTCTTTTGGAGACGGGAGTTTGTGAGTTTTTTCTGACATGCTCTAAAAAAAAGCTGTTTTCAAGATTAACATTTACTTAAAAAAAAAAAAAAAAAGTCTGTGCCTCTCAGTACATTGTTACCTTGTTTTATCAAATCAAAAACAATAATATAACAACCACCAAACTGAGTTCTTCATATTATTATTTTTTTGGAAACACCATCCAAGGGGAAGACTTCTCTAATACTAATCATCTACACTCATCTCCTTTTGCAGCTTCCATGTCTTCTTTGGGGTTCGAAGGCCAAAGAACTGTGGGATTCATCAATAAATCTCTCTAATTGCCACTTTTCTTGTGTGTGTGTGTGTGTGTGCGTGTGTGTGTGTGCATGTGTGTGTGTGTGTGATTCTCTCCAGGTTGAATTACAAATATACTTGCTTTGCTTTTTATTTCATATTAGTTATTTCCTCTTCCAAAGGTTATGTTTTTAGTTGAGTTTGTGTGTGTGTTTGTTTGTCAGTCTGTCCTTCTGTATACAGGATCATTTGAAAAGTACAGATTTTAATGAACTTTTTAACAAAAGTGCATCTCAACCCAAGGAACAAAAACCCAACTCGTCGTGTTTGGAGGAAGAAAAATGCAGAGCTGCATCCCAAGAACATCATACCTACTGTGAAGCATGGGGTAGGAAACATCATGCTTTGGGGCGGTTTTTCTG